CAGGTAGCTACATGTATATCATATCATACGACTTGTTACACACAATCTTTGCACATTTAATTGCAGGAGTTGTTGAAAGCTTTCCAGTGATGATGCCCAACTGTGCTTGGTGGCAACGAGTTCCAGTCTAAGATACATGTACATTGTACATGTACAATGTAGTTATTGGGAAATACGAGTTTTTAACACCTCAATTCTTGGTTGATAACTCTGATATTTGAAGGCTTGACTGTTTCTTGTTCTTTTCTGGGCTGGCATATGTAATGTAGTCATATTCAAGGGCAGTGTATGTAGTACAACCATTTGCATTCATAAGATAAATTTTGGCTATTGCAGTACTTGTTATCTGTCCCAAAGTAACTGTTTCATAAATTGATGTTATGGAGCAGCAGCAATGTCAGAATTTGCATAATTGCCAAACCCATTCATCTAGTTTGGTTCACCGTATTGTTTCATTACTTATGCCAGACTTGATTATTTTGTTTAATTGATTCATTATTCATTGTACTTGTTTATTATCTTTTCATTACTTCTTCATAGTTATTCATATTTCATTTGACATAACAGTAGAAATTGTAAAATCATGATGGCAAGGATATCAAATAAGCCTTTGTGGCTTTTCTTCCACCCCTTGCACGTTTATTTCCATTGTAATATTTTGTATAACTTTTATTATGCATGTGCTAATAAATAAGCATAAAAATACATGTAAATAAAATTCAAACATTTGCTATAACCTCATACATTTCTGAAGATGTACGAAGATTTCATCATGATTATAATGCTATCCTCTTTCCTTTAATGTTTAAACTTATAACACAACTACCTGTTCTACATTCTGATGACATCCTCAGGGGACATCCTATACTAGTGCAAATGTACAAATGTGTAATGTCTGTCTATAATGTCGGTTGAATTGGTTGAGTTGTACTCACAGGAGCTTGCTTACAAACAGGGGAAAACAGCACCAAAGGCAATGATATCATCCAACCTCTATCACTACGTAATGTACCGGTGAGACTTCACATAGAAGGCATAACGCATCGCCTAAACCATGCAGAAAATTAGCTGATCTAACGTTAACAGCTACGCAATTTCTGTTCATAAAAAATTATCCACGTCACACTCTTCCATCAATTTCGCACCATGCTCTTTGAGCAAAGCAATAACTGAAAAGAGCAGGTCTCATCTTTAAGAAATAATGTGACATTTCACAGTTCCGATGCTTTGGCAGTGCCGCGGAGGAAAATTAAATCACGGCTGTCAACTCTGAAGAAACCATCTAAATCAGCTCAGCTGGAAAACTGCCCTTCATGCCGGTGATTCCTTAATAACTCAACTCACAATACAGCTATCATGAGGTTACATCCATGGGGCATGGTAATTAGTTCCACAAGGATTCACCTTCAAAGTCATTGTCATTGCCGACATCTATGCACGTATATTTCATCAATCATCACCAAGTACAATGTTAATGCCCCTATCGTCTTGAATGGCAGCACACAAATGAAAGAGTGGAGGACCATGATCATGAACTGGGCTTTAGGAAGCTTAAGGCGGCTGCCTGGAACCCGTGGACCCGTATCATGTGATGGGGTGGTGGGCAGGCAGATTGGGGGATTACCACGGTTTCTGCCATACCTCTACTGCAGAGTCTTTGGAGACAGGGAGTCTCATGCGTCATAAGTTGGGATAAAAATACAGTGGAGAGGTCAATTATTTTCACCCTCTTAGCAGCAGTGCTGTCTCAATGCTAGGTTGAAGCCAAATGATTTTGATTCAGCCTCTTCTTGCTACATATACTGTAACAGTTACTAGTACAGTTACTTTTGATGTATGTATTGCATTTTTGCAACAAGAACAAAAACTCTCGCATTTCAGTCAAATAGCACTTATGGCTGATACAGATTTCTTACCGTGACAGTGTTTGAAATATAGGAAATATTTTGTGCCAAATCACACATAAAAGGAACACACTTTTTGGAACAGACACAAACCATGACAGACACTGCATTTGAGTGCCACGCTGGTACACTTGACTCAAGCCAACTTTGTCCATCAATAGAGAGTGCAAGAAAAGTGATGTAGATGTCAGACGATGTAACCCTATCTAATGAGGAAAATATGTTTTTTTGTGAGGCTCAGCAAACTTAGCTGTACCAGTTGTAACTTAACATGAGCATGCTATAAACTAGGTTTTTGGTCGGAGAATTCCAGGTCTGCCTGGGTCATGTAAGACACCAATTTGTATCAATCCTTCGCCGTAGGATTTCCGGCTCCCTCTCACTGAGATGATTAGAGTGTGACAAATCAGCAAGGCTGGTATCTGCTGACCAGGGATGCCTGCCCACAGTTCATGCACCGCCGTTCCCTCTGAGCACAATTATTGCGGGGAGGAATGCCACTGGGCTCTATTAGCAAGAACAAATTCCTCTAAAAACCTTGGTGGTATTCCCTGGACGGCACGGTTGATAAAGAAAAGTCTGTCCCAGCACCTGAGATAAAACAACGCTGGAGTAAGCCCATTAATCCATCACCAGAGTGGATTATTACATCTTTTCATCTGGCTTCCAGGATCTTTTTCTGCAGGGCTTTAGAAATTTCAATGCTGATGGAGTAAATTTGTATCCTAACCCAAGGCAGCAATTTTAGTATGGAGTATTGGCATTCAACTCTGCCACCCTTTCAAAACAAACAAGTTTTTAAAACTCACCAACTCTTTGCTGTAATACATACTACAGTTAGTATGTTATACACTTCAATATTCTGCTTAGAAACACCATGGAGTTAAAATCAAAGATGTCAGACATTGTAACCCTACATCTCATGCATGGGCAAAATATCTTTTTTTTTTTGAGGCTCAGCAAACTAGCCACTTCCTTGTATTGAACCTACTTGGAAACACATTGTCTCACACAGTTTTCAATGGAACCTGTCAAAGGCAACAATTTTCAATTGAAAGTTGATTCACATGAAAAAAATGTGTATCTGTAAAACCAGTATAATTGCCCATCAGCATAACATATTGGCTAAGGTACTAGATTATAGCAACTGCTAAAATCACTCTCTACCAGTATGCTTTAAAAAATCCTAGCAGTAGACATACATGTAATCAGTAAAACAGACAACACATACCAATAACACAGCATTCACCTATTTGTACATTTTCATGTTTATTGAGAAGTCCTAGCCAGTATGTCTAGACAATGATTGCACATCTATGGAGAAACATATTAGGTGGACAGCATGCATTTTCATCAAGAGTCTAGACAGTGCTATGAATCCATATCCAATAAATTAGGAAATATTTTGACACCGGTAGATGTCAGTTGCTACCCATGAGGAATGTGATATGAAAATGAATCTTTATGTCTTTAGTCTTTGAAACATTTCATTCAAATGTGAAAGTCTGAGTACACCTACACCATATTGATAGTTCAACCTTGTAATATAATTTTGTTTCACATATTCAACAGAATAAAGTTGTTTGCAATGCTAGAAATCATAACTAAAGGCTGCAGAATAACATCACCCACTGAAAATGACACAGGTACATATTTTCCTTCCAAACTCAGGTGGAAAGACCTTCATGTTAGTTTCCATGTCAAATTTATTTGCCAATTGCGAGTCTTTAGCATGCTCAGTTCTCTAAGTTTAAACTTTAACAACCAATGCATGCCAAGTGAATCTCATGGTTGATTTCTTCAGTAACAAACAAATACTGCACAGGAATCACCATCCTGTCATCAACGCTGATCGCTGACTCGAAGGTTAAGTGAAAATTCCTGGAGGTTCCACGTCAGTGAGTGATACTCAAATTGCAGTGATGCAAAAAAACTCCAATTAATGAGCTAATCAAGCTTGCCTCAGCTCTTTTTAATTGCCTCTCAAGATGTGTTGAGATCTTGTTAAGCTGACATTAATTTCTGACACTGTGTCAGGTCCTGTGTGTATGGGACGCCTCGGGAGATCACTGTTGGTGATATAACGAGCTATGGAGGCAGTGATGGAGGTTCACCTGCGCCCATCATGTGAATTCTCCATGGTGACAACGATTTTTGGAGGGAAAATTTCCAACTCTGGGTGATCAGTCTGAGGCGACAATCTTTAATTGACAGCTGCGTATATACTGGGGAATAATTCCCAAGGGCCATGGTACCTTTTCTTTTCACAAAGCTTCAATGACGTCCCTAGATTTGGTTCTAAACGTGCATTCATGGCTCTTTCTCGCCTTCAGATGAACATGACCGGTAATACACCCTGCCTTTGATATGCTGAATTGTCACCAAGAACAGCACTTCAAACGTTCAACAACCGAAAATGACTTTGCCTGAAATGGCATTAGGGCTGGATGTGGAAAAGAAGACACTAAGAATATATGGAACCAGCATGCCAACCACCATGTACATGTAGTTCATTAGACATCTACAAGGTAGAATTTAAATCTTTATTTCATTTAGTTTGTTGAGGAATTGCCATATGCCATCCTTTTCTGGCACAGCCAGCTTGCTTTTTTTTTTACCATTCAAAAATGCAATTAGTGTAAAAAGAAAGGTAGTAACTGTTAGAAATGGAATTGCATGTGAGACACCTGCAACTAATATAATAAGATGAATTCTGCAGCAAATACTATAAATTAAAATAGTGGTATAGTACGGATGGAGTGTGACTTGGAAAGGCTGGACACCTGTTACAATACAGAAGGTTGGCACTGTGTCACACCATGCATAAAAGCACAAAATGCACAAAATGAAGCCGTGCATGATTTGTGTCCCTTCTGGCAGTTCTGTTGGGTGCTGATTCCTCCAGGGAGGGTGATTAGGACCGTTCCTCATGTTCGCTTTAACTGCGTGTCACAGACCTCACACTTACTTCCCTCC